AAAAATAACGAGCAGGATCATGATTACGTGCAGCTCATGCATTAAAACAAGACCGAAAGCTCGAGCTTTCACACGTTTTCTGCTATAAATAGAGAAGTTGCAGCTTGTGTGAGAGGCAAAAGCAGCTTCTTTTCTCAATGTTAGGCCACAGGGTGACGTCATTACAGAGAATAAAGCTAAACTAAACAAACAAAAAGAAAAAAAAATTAAATTCTCTCATGTTTTTACTTGTCTTACTTTACAGACTTATGATTAACTCGACTGCAATTGAATAACAGCTCGGTCCGGCTCTTTAAGAGGAAAAACAAACCCTAAAAATACCAGAAATATTAACTTTCCTCAGCATCGTCACATTTGTCAAGACAAACAGTGTCAGGAGGCTTCGGTACATCTGCTTATTAAGACTCGGGACGCATTTGTTTTGATTTATTGTGAAGTCCCCGACAACCACCAGCCACACCATCATGAAGATAAATTACAACTGAACGTCTCTGAATAGTGAAATAAACGTTATTAACTAAACTTTGATACATTAAAACAATATAACAACCTCTCAGTTACAATAACAGGTTACAGATGGAGAATGCAATCACATGCTTAGTGAAAATTACTTCTAAATATAAGTTCAAATTCTCAGTGCTGAGCAAACATGGTGTAAGCACCTGTTACATCTACATTTATTATTCATGTAATTTATTAGTTCGAAGTCTAATGTTTACACCTCCCAGGATTAATTATAACACACGGGTGGGACAAAACCGAGCCGCCTCATTGAAGTACATATCACCAGCTGAATTTATACTCACTGGCCACTTCATTAGGTACACCTGTTTCCTGCTTGTTAACAATTATCTAGTCAGCCGGTCACATGACAGCAGCTCAGTGCATTCAAGCATGTACACTGGTCAAGATGACCTGCTGAAGTTCAGTCTGAGCCCAGGGACAGGGAGGAAAGTGGATTCAAGTGACTTTGAACGCAGCATGGTTGTTGATCTGAGTATTTTAGAAGCTGCTGATCTGCTGGGATTTTTCAGCACAACGATCTCTGTGGTTTCAAGGTCCGAAAAAACAAAAACAAAAACAGAAAATATCCAGTGAGCAGCAGGTCTCTTGGTAAAAATGCCTTGATGATGTCATGGAGAGCCTGCTTCATGTTGATAGGAAGGCAACAGCAACTCAAATGACACCCTTAATACCAAGGCATGCAGAAGAGCATCTCTGTATGCAGAACACATGAAACCATACCGAGCACACTGGGTGCCACTCCTGTCAGCTAAGAGCAGGAAACTGAGGCTACAATTAACACAGGCTCGCCAAAAACGGCAAACAGAGGACTAGAGAAATATCACCTGATCTAATGCGAGTCTTGATTTCTGCTGCAACATTTAGATAGTGGGTTCAGAATATTTTCTCAACACTTTTCCTCCACAGATCTCAATCCAGTAGAGCACCTTAGTGATGCGGTTGAGCAGGAAATCAGCATGATGCCATCATATCAACATGAACCAAAATCTCTGAAGAATGTTTCCTGCTCCTTATTGAATCTGTGCCACAAAGTACTAAAGCAGGTCTGACGGCAAAAGGGGATCCAACCCTGTACTACCAAATAAAGCAGCCGGTAAGTGTATACATGGGTAAATGCACAGATAAAGAACTGAAATTGTCCGTAATGTACAAAAATATACACAGTGTCCAACCTATATGATATACTGACTCTAAATTCTGTGGTTTTTGATGTCTTTTCATAGGTATGAGTGCAGTTATTGAAGTTTTACCCTTTGACTTTCACTTTAGTTTCCAGGGCATTTGCATGTTTCAGTTTAGTTTGACTAGTTTCAGTGTT